GAGCGGTCTCATTTAACCACGACACTACCGACTGTAGACCACCAAAGCTTGAATTGGCTATGGCTGGTTGATAACGGCTAGTGAGGCAAAAAAGGTCAGTCTAGTCTTCTCTGTTTTCACAGGTAACGTTCATTCCTGAAGCATCCCGCCGTCCCCCCCCTCATGTGAATTTTAAACGCCAAAAACTTTTTGCAACGTGAAATTGGGTGAGATTCTTAGATGCACTTATGCGCACCGTGACCTCTGCCTCCTTTTAAACAGCGACTGACTTTATAGGCCTACTTAAAGCCCCGTAAACAGATGCTCAAAACAGTCGCTTTCGACTTCTGAGACGTTAAAAGTTAAAACTGGGATTTTCGATTAGCGAAAAACACTTGGAGAACATGTAACGAAACAAAGGAACGTAACACAATGATCAGTGAAGTTCTGGTGCGCCAAGAAACTCGAAGATATCCCAAGTAGCCTGTGACCACTGATACCCCGAAGAAGCACCTGGAGACTTAGTCCACTAAGATCTGTTTTAGATTTAACCACGACACGACAGTTCCCCCGTAGATTTCGACGATGGGCACCGCGTGCTCCAACAGCCGCAGCAAACACTAAAGCAAGCCGCAACAGACACTGATGCGAACTGAGCAAGCGACACGAAGGCTACAGCAAGCAGGAGCAACACAGAGAACTAGCGCCAGAGAAAACAGGAGTTTAGGCAGACTCGCGCAGAATCTACCCACTCGCTCGCCACCACATCCGCATCCGGTGTAAAGACAAAGTCAATAAGAACGGGGATGAGTGAGGGTGCAGGTGGCTGGCGCAATAATCACTCAACACGCGCACACTTGACTCAGCACATCTCGCTAGGTAGACTCCCGCGTGCGCGGGAGCGCCATAAAGGCCACATTAAAAGGGAGTCATTGCAGCCTGACTCTCAGTCCTCCCTCTCCTCCCGTACGCACACACAGACACGTGCGTACTAGAGTAGCAGCGACGTAGGAGACCCGAGTTATCCCGTCGGTTGGCAAACCCTCTAAGCCACGGCTTTTAACGCGCCGTGATAGATGCAAGCGCATCAAGTTGATAATAGTGAGGAGAGAAGCGCACTGAAAGTCGACATCACTCTCTCCCCCACCGTCTAACGACCGTCTAGCTGATCGGTCACCTGAGGTGGGGTCTGATACCCAGTGGGAGCGCAAACGCATGCACCATCAGGGAATCCGAACCGAGGAAAAGTGCCAGCGCCTACCAGGCCTCAGGGACCGTGGTTTGTTGAAGTCTGGCATTGCATTTGTATACAGACGTTGAATCTCATATACCAGAAAGTAGTGATTCCAACACCTCGCAGCTGTGTCATGCAGTGGCGCAAGGTCGGCGAAACACACGTGGCTGGACTTTTTACTGGTAGCCACACTGCCAGTAGGGCATATAGTTAAGTATTTGGAAGCACAGTAATTAATTTAATTCAGGACTTATTGACTTATTGCAGGTCTTATTGACTTTGTCTTTAGATTTAACCAATGGCATGGGCACCTCACATAACGCATTTTGGAGTGACCCACGTGCGACAGGTCCATGCCATACATTGGCGAAGACAGACCGCCTCGATTCGTCGCACCCGAACACTATCACTGTGTGGTATTCCACTGTGCGATCGATCTGTGGGAGTCTGCTGCCCAGCGCTGACTCATCCTGCTTTTGCCCTGCCAGGACTTGCACCAATGCCTAATCATCTACTCCGCGCGCACTATCGGCCTCTCCCACGTTATCGACCCACTCGCCGCTTCATACGCGCGTACGCTCAATAGCAATCGATACGCCTTGCTTCACTTGATTGGCTGCTGGCGAGAGAAAGCATACATCACGCAGGCAAAGCTACACAACTTCGCGGACACACCTGGGTCATAACACAGCCATTGTACCGCCTACTTGCCGGCAGTAAATCTCTGTCTACCAACAGTATCTTCGCTGACTTGTGCTTTGGGGGACCTTCTGTTGTCCATACTACAACTTGCGACAAATCCAGTAGTTGCGTAAGAGTTGTCCGGCACCTCAAGGAGAAGCTCGACATTGATCAAGCGTAAGAACATATAGAACGCCTAACCAAGTTTGCACAGTAGACGAATCACACCCCCCGGACCCAGGCAGGGGGACCTAGCACCCCCATGGAGAGATTAGGAAGCCAGCCTATTAAGCGTACCAAAATTAAGTTGAGAAGTTCGACTAGCCACTCGAGATCAGATCCAGTGGACGGGAAGAAATTCGCTGTCCGAGAGAGGATGCATAGCAAGTTCAGCTCACTCTACAGAAATCTACCAGACGCGACCCAAGGTAAGACGACTATGGGGTAATTTATGATGCTCATTAGTATTTCAGTAGTGGTAGCAATGGAACCAGAAAAGTATCTTTATAAGGCCAAAGCAGGAGAAAGTCAGTGAGATTTTGACCGTGTTGAAAGACATTTAAACAAACACACACTCCAGAACCAAGTAGGTCAGCAAAGAATGAACAAAAACAATGACAATTCGGTTCGACACCTTTAAAAGGAGGGGAGGGGGCCGAAAGAAACAATAGGGGGAACTTCAGTTCAAACAACGTGGGGCTCTCTGCTTCGGCAAAGGAAAACGCGCGTAGATTGAAATAAAGCGAAAGAAGAAGTGATGGCAAGATATTGCTAGACTGGACTGTGACATAAAGCGGGGCGAGGAAAGTGTCTGGAAGACATCTGAATAGAGATGAATTTTTGTTTTGTAGTGGAGGACTGGGGATAGAGGGGGGCTGGTGTACAAAAGTAGACAAAAGTGGTTCATAGTAGTACGGTGCAACACTGGTTCAGCAAATAACCGCCGGCATTTCGTCCAATTCCAATGATGCAGCCACGCCCAGCAAAAAGGGTGGGGGGGGGCGCATAGAAAGATGCTCTCTCTCTAAGCATGTAACACACACAAAATATAAATATGTATACATATATAGGCAGGTGGTAGTCATCACTGATCGTGTTCATTACTAATTCGTAGCTGTAGGTGGTTTATATATGTGCACAGCTGTGAGGGGAACTCCTGGTAACGCGGGCTGCCACAGTTACTTGAAGGACATAGTCTGCAGAATGTTGGCCAGCTGCTCGAAGTAGCAGGTGTACAGAGTGATAGCATGGGTGACACTAGTGGTGTCAGCCATCTCACGACAGGAGTGCATCGCCAACTGAGCGCCACCAACATCCGCGGTCGGCACACCCAGTTGGTGCGCGAGAATTGGGCCGATTGTGCTGCCACAGGGTTGATCCTGTCGAATCACGAACTCCTATAGGAGTGCGCCAAAAGGATGGAGGAAAAAGAAAACAAGAGTTAGGAATCGAAGAAAAAAGGAAGGAAAGATAAAGACGTCAGTTTAAGTACAAGCTCAATGTGCCCTCAGTTTGGTCTGTAATGACACGGGATAAGTAGTTCCAGTGGGGTAGCCTCCAACAGAAAAAAGGGCCTCTATAGCTGGAACAATTGTCAGAGTAGATTTACTTTTATTCTTTTGGATAAGTGCCGACTCATGCAACCAATATAACCTGCTCTACAGGAGCAAGTAAAGGAGTAGATGCACATGGAAACTGGTCTGAGCTGGTAAACTGTCTTTACCTTCCCCATGTAAGATGAGGTTGCTTGCGAATAATACCCGAACTCTCGCTGCTGGGAAGGTTCATGAAACAGCTTAGGTACGGCGTCTTTTCAGGAGTTCACCTTCCGCGGCCCTTCGAAAAGGGACTTTGAGGAATATTGTTTTCTTTTCCACAGTAAGTGCGGCGGGATTGATTTGGTTCGCAGCCATATTCCCTGTAATCAATCTCTTCGGATACCCGGTCTCGCGAAGTAGGTCCTGAATTTTCTTGAGCTCCTCCTCAATACCGTCTGCTGAAAAAAATCTTCTAGCCCTTTGCATTAATCAGCGAACTAGATATCGCTTCTGTGGAAGGGTTACGAAACTGTTAAAGTTCGTTTACTGTCCACACCATGTTTTCTTTCGATAAACGCTCTCTCGGACGCTACCGTCAGGTGGACATCCAAGAAGGGAAACGAACCTGCCGTTTCCAGCCCCCCAGCTTGAACTTAATGGACGGATGTGCTTGGTTGGCAGCATTTAAGACTGCGTCTACATCGGTTTCGACGGCGGCGGCATAAAGGAATACCTCCCGGCACGGCTTAGAAAATGTGATGTCAGAGTAGAACAAAATCCACAAAGCAAACCTCGTACTTCTCAATAGGGGAGGGAGAGAGTTGATAGACTCACCCTCAAAAGACGATTTGAGTAAGGGGGGGG